AGAAGCAAGAGAAGTACCTCTGCAAATGGTTCCATGTCTGCTACTGAACTTCCCTGCACAGGGTTGGACAGAGTCACTAGCTGTTGGCAGCTCCCACCTGCCAGCACAGGAATGGATGTCTGGTCACTAGGTCCCAGTTCCCAGTGCTTCCAGCAGCTAGGCTACCTTAGAAGACAGAGAAAAACCACAGTAAATCTATTCCTAACATATTTTACATAGACAGTGTCTATTGTATCCCTAAGAGGTTTTGCAGTCAAACAGAGAAGGTGAAGAGGTTTAGCCTGTCACATATGGGCATGAAAGCAGTTTGTGAGTGATTCATTAGTGCATAATGCAAATAAAGTTTGAAAACACTTATTGCTGCAGAAGAAAAGTTAGATTTCGCAACCAATAACCAATTGCAGTTACTCATGCTAATATAAAGAACTGATAGAAGTTCCATGGTTTTGCATGTATGTCAGCCATAATCTCAAATGGCAGGTAAGAATTCCCCCTCCAGTCCTCCAAAACTAACTTCAAACTACCTGAATATGATAAAAAGCTCTCTATTTATCTCTCATATCAAACGCCAGTGAATGGAGAGAACCATGATCTTATACAGCATGGAAAACCTTAAGTTCTCAGAGGGTTTCTTCCCTTTTCAGTGAAGTGGCTAGCGGCTCAAAGCTGAACTAGCAGCTGGTCATGAACAATGCTTCTCGGGTTGATAATGGGCCCAGTACTACTCAGTATTCTTATAAATCATCTGGATAACAAGATGGAGTCAATCTTCAAGTTTGCACATGACACTAAATGGGGAGAAGAGGGAGGCAGAGCAGACAGATGAGCCACTATTCAGAGACTTGGACAGGCTGCATGATGGGTCCAAAAAGAATTGCATGAGACCTAAAAAAGATAAATTCCTGTACCCAGAATTAAATAATCCCAAGCAGCAGCACAGGCTGCTCCATTAGCACTGGACTACAAATGCCTGCACTGAAAAGCTAAAAGAGAACTGAATACAGAGATCCCTTTGAAACCAGTTTGATCAATTCTCCGGGACTTAGTGCTTGCTGTTCTGAAACACAGGACAGCAAATACTTCCCCCCGGCCTTTACAACCAGATAAATCTACATAAAGGAAAAAAAAAATTCTAATGACGGAAAAATATAACCGAAAGATTCTTAGGCTGGGTAAGATACATCTAACCACAGGCTCCAAATGCTTATGTGAAAGAGCTGCATTCTTATGATACAGATTGACAAAAAGTAGTAATTACGTTTAAAAACAAGCTGTAGAAATTGCAACATAAACACACACAATCCATTCCAAACACAGAGCTGAAGATTGAAATTACAGGACAGGACTGTGAAATCTGTGGAATTTTCTTCCCAAACTCAGTGGGTTAAGGCCATAAAAAAGATCAGCAGTGGTTAGCTGTAGAGCAACAGTTACCTGGAGAGTAAGAGCCAGGCCCGTTCACGCTCCTTCAGCTGCAGTTTCCTGCTTCCCACAGCTTTCCCATCTGTTAGGAATTTATACTTTGGGGCAACACAACAGTCAGGCTCCTCTGCATTCCTTCTTCCTTCTCCACAGGTAACTGTCACTTCAGGAGTCTACACAGAACCAGCAATCCAGAAGCTAATATCCAGCACAGTTTCTGGCTTTACTGAAATATTTTTTTTACCAATTATTTTGTTTAGCCATTTTCTTTTGTTTCAAATTTCAGATGTTACTGCCTGAAACAAACATGCTATCCCTTTCCCCTTCTCCTCTTATCAAATTCCTTTAAATAAAATTTAATTTTAGATGCAAATATAAATGGAGCATACTTTTGTACATTTGCCTCAAACTGATGAGGGGCCATCAGCATTTAACAACATTTTCTGTTCTCAGACCCATTTCACTGAGTAGAATTTTGCTGAATTGTTATTAGAGAAAATAGTAATGTAATTTGATTTCCCAACGCAGGCATGACACTGGATTACAAATTTGGTTTTTAGGCAAAGTAACAAACTCACATTTATTTTAGCCCATGACACTTTATAATCCTCCATTTTTATTTCACCAATCATGGCATGTTGAAAAGCAAGGCAGACTTTTGGGAAATGCGGATATCCAGCTGCAAGATGATCAAGGACATATCGTCCTAATGCTGTATCAGGCTCCTACCTAAAAGGACAAGTTCTGGTCTTCATGTGTTAAGATGAGCATCTCTCTTCCCACAGAGTCTCACGCAATAAGATCTTATCAGGATGTGGCAGACTACAAAAATAACTTACATTAAAGATTTTACCCCTACTATTACTCCTGTTCAGACATAGGAAAAAGCTGTGATATGAGATAGAAGGAGGCAGTAATCATTAGCAGAAACAAATTGCTGCTTACCTTTCATGGCCATGAAGATCTGCAATGCATCCACAAACACGCCAAAGACACAAAACAGCCCTACTTTTGCAACCAAGAGCAATCCAAGTGACATTGTTCTGTGCCAATATTTCAAATCCCTCCCCTTGGGGAATATCCCCAAGATTCATTTTTGTATCCTTAAAGTCATGGAGAAGAACAATTTCCTTTCTTGCATCAGAAAGCTTTTTTGTTATAATGTGTGTACAAAAATTTACATTTTTGTACTAATTTTAAGAATCTACATGCTGTACGGCCACCACAAAATGACCAGACCACAATTCTCAGAAGCACGCATTCCACAGAACTAATGACAGCCAAACAAACACCACTCATCTGGGATACGCGAACAACACCAGAGTCTTTCAAACAACTAACTCATCTTAGACCAAATCACTTCAGTCCCACTTAATCCAAGAGAGAACAATCAAATAAAACAAAACAATGCATTAAAAAGCTCCCTTATGTGTTGTACACAAACTCCAGATTCCCTACCTATTCTAAACAGGTAAGAATCTGCAATTAGCATACTATCATTAGTAGTATACTACTAAGAGAAAGACGCAAGTCTTTTAGGCATATAGATATATAAGCAAATAGACCATAAACTTCTAACATATGAAACTGCATTGAGAAACTAAATTCCACACAAGTTTGGCAGAAGTTTTTATATACGCAAACTGAAAACTGCTTTGAATCCACACACAGAGTTAGTTATCTGGCAAAAATGACTCACAGCTAAAATATTCCTACTATGAGAGGTCACTAAGCACATTTCATATCAGACCTACTTGTAATATGCAAACAGCTCTACCCCAGTTCAGTGCATCATTAACATATCACTGCAGCTAAAAGAAGCAGTGGCCAAAAGAATAAAGTGAATGATACTGTAAATATACCCAACAGCAGGGAAAAAAAAAATCAGAAAATACTTTGTATTTCACAAAGAATGGTTTTTAATAATCATTCATTGTTTAAGCCTGCTTTAAAAAAACTGTCTTCAGGATTTTATAACAGGTATACCCCAGTAAACAATGTAAATACTTTATTTTTACTTTTGTGACATTAAAATGTATCATGTCAAGCCCTGGTGAGCAGAAGAATGCTTGATCAGGTGCACGTACTTGGTGACTTCCTTAGTCCAAATAAAAGACTTGGAAGAACATCTTTAAGGCCTTTGTTTTATGTGTTAGCAGTTTAAGCATCCACAACATAATCCAAATAAAAATTGGCTCAGACATATTTTAAAATAGTTGTGTTGTTTAAAAGGCAAAAATGGGAAAGAATTTATTGGACTCATTCTTAAAGCTTTCAGGAATTCACGAGCACTTCTAAAAACAATACTCTTAATAAAGGAAGATATAGGCAGAAATCTAGAAAATGGAAAAACGCAGTAACAGAGAATATAATTTTTGAGCCTCAGTTTCAAGGATTGTTTCTGTTGAAATTCTGTTTGATGAAATACTGAAAGTACGTACCATAAAAGAGCGGTAATGAAGAGAAATCTTTCCTCACAAGCAATCATATTAGTTACAAACACATCACAGAATACAATGCATTTATAGACTAACATTCAAAACAACTTTAATTTTTCCACAGAACTCATATTCACTAGGAAACCGTGTGTCATCACATTGCTTGACCTTTTCATAGACAGTAAGTAGTCCTTTTTCCTGACTTCCCTCTGTCAGTTTGGCTCTATATTTCAAGCAAACTGCCGATGCACAGCATAGTCTGGTTGCGTTTTTGGAATGATGACTACAGCCTTGATGCTATCACTTGTTCCTCCAGACAAACCTCAATACCTGAGGTAAGCACTAGTGCATATCAATGTGCAATCTCATATGAGCTTTAGGCTGTAGCCATTCAGTAATACAGTAAATAACTGCAATATTAATTTCTGAAGACAGGCCAGAATCCAAACCATGTTTGGAAACTGTTTTGGGGAAGCATAAAAATATATATTTTAACTGTTCAGCCATACTCGTAAGTTTCCTAGTGCAAATTTATGGCAAATACTATTCAGATGAACACAGCTTTTGTTCCCTAAACCTCATTTATTACACTATCCTAAAAAGAAAATGTATTTTTTTAAGTAATTAAAAAAACTGGTAGGTACTGTGTGTTAAAAGAATTAAGTAAGTAAATCCAAGTTGTTCCCCTTATGCACATTAGACAAAGTTAAATACAATTTTAAAATATGTCTGAATAAAAGTCTGTAGTGATTCTGGAAGAATTAAGAAAGCTGAAAAGTTATTTTTCTTGTTGTTATGCAGTATCAGATATTGCTGTCGACCACTGCTTCTTTCTTCAAGCTGTAGTTTTTCCACAAAAATCATTAGACCAACAGAAGGTACTGAAGATAATTTTGTCCCCTAACCTCAGCTGCAGACACTTGCCTTTATTTTCCGCTCTGACCGAATTTGACATTTTCACTTGAAATGTGTCCACTGAGGTTAAGAAAGGGTTAACGGTTTAGAGAATGTTTCAGCTGTGGAGCCACTTCCCCTGCCAGCTCCTTCTGGCTCCTTTGAAGCTGCAAGAAAGCCTCAGATTTTTTTGTTTCATCTTGTCCTTCTCCAGGCCATACTTATCACGGCATGGTTCAGCTATTACTACTTCAGTTGCATTTTGTTATACTTCATTTTCCACTTTTTCTTCATCATTCTTTGTTTGCAGTAATTCTTCTTCAGCTTCTTTGTAGCCACACCTTCATTTCTAACAGGCTTAGCTGGATTGCCTTTTGTTTCCGTAGCTATTGGCTTTCCCTCATAGGGTGTGTCCGATTGTCCTTTCACCCCAGTCATCTAGACACATATGGGGAGAGAATTAAAAAAAAAAAAAAACCAAAACAAAAAACACAACCACAAAAAACCCCCAAACTAGAATTAATAATCTTAAATCTGTATTAAGCACAAACATACACAAATGCCTTCAGAGATCTCCCTTCTACTTTTTGTCATTCCAGACAGATTCAGAGGTCAAATCTGGACTAGGCAACAGGCACAGCTAGTCTTCCTGTCACCAGTGGCATCTGACCACTCCTGCCTCCTACCTGCCCATGTGCCTAGATTTCCTTCTGGCAGAACCCCAAGAACATGATGCACAACTTCAATTTGCCCTTATACGAAGTCAGGATGTGGCTAAAACACATAACTGGGCCTAAAACGCACCCCACAGCCCACAAAGATAGGCATAGTTAGCACGTGGCTTTTACACAAAGGAGTTAAATCTATGCTGAAGAAAAATAATGCTTGAAAATTTTCTTACTTTTAAAGTGTCATACTACCCGTTCAAAACATTAGAGCTTAGAGTGGGATCTTTCGGAAATTTCCAAAGCATGATATATATCACTTATTCACCAGCATAAATTACAAAGCAGACTGGATTCCTAAAATATTTCCACAAAATTTCTAATTTCTAATGTGTAAAGCTAGGTGAGATGAGTCTCATCTGAAATGTTTTTCAGGAAAATGCCATACCTATTCTTCGTAGTGGATCCAGAACTCTAAAGGGTCTCTCTTACCCTCAAAGATGACAGATAAATATACTAGCTATATATCCAAGGGACTGAAATAGATTATTTCAAAACTGCTAATCTGCTTTTCCATCAAGTGTGATACCGACCTTCTGTTTCCACATGGCTTCCTGAGGTGCAGGTGGAAAAGTGCATGGAACTCTTCCATGATTCATGTGATAGGGCAAAGGGAGGCTGGGATCTAGCGGTACCCACGGGACTGAAAGAGTGGCAGGTACAGTAGGCAGATCACAATGAGCTTTATGTAAGTTATATGATGCTCTCGTTGTCTTGTCAAGAGAACTCTTGTAGATTGCAACTGATGAATCCCCTGCAGCATGAGTCAATAAGTAAGAGCCCTCCTGCAAGCTAAAAAGATAAAGTTCAAAATTAAAAATATTATTTCAATGTTTTTGGTTTGTTTCATTTGATCAGGATAGCCACTAAGTTCTTAATGCAAAAGCAAGACATCTTTAGATATTCACTTATCAGTCCCTGTTTTATAAAAATACTATAGACAAAAAAGCAGGAATTAAACTATATTGATACATACATACTAATTCATGCATTTATAATGTACTCATAATGTACTCATTTATCATCAATGTACAGATTGTCATCATATTCAAAAAAAACGTTTAAGCATACACTGAAAGACATCCATAATTGGCAAACTAATTCTTTAACCAGTGCCTTACAAAGCATAATGCATATATGGACACAGACACAAATAACAGATGTGCTTTAAACGTGGAGGATTAAACATGTTTTCAGGAAAATAAATGCCAACCAACTGCCCATATCAAAAATCTTAGTCACAAATCACGAAGCTACATAAATTATGAAGTGCAGGAAAACTCTTCTGCAATTCAAATTAAGAGGCTTCACACCCAGGGCAAGAAATCTGCTTCACAAAAAAATTAAAAGATACTTGCAGACCAAAACTCTTGAAGTAGCTAAATAAATAAAGGAAGGAGCAAGAGAAAGGTTGCAACACTGTACAAAGACATATGCTGTTGTGAGTCAAGCTAAGCAGAAGCAAACACAAACAGTATTATTTCTACAGATTATGCAAGAAAACTAAGGAAAAACAGAACGCCAATGTTAAATGTCAGCCTGCATACACAGTATTATAACTCACTCCTGTGACCTGTTTAATCAGCTCAGAAGTGCCTGGTTCCTGCTCTTGAATAAGTGGTTCATAAAAATCAACTTCTTACTCTTTTGCATCATTTATACAAAACCTATAATCCTAAACAGGTTTTTACACAGTATTGCATTATGCTATGCTAGACCTAAAAGAATCTGTAAAATATTTCACGTATCTGAAGAAATAAAAATGAAAGAGTAGACAAGCATTCTACGGAAGAAATAAGACGACCTGGGTAAGGCTGCAAATAAATACAATGAAAAAGAATGGAGCACTTACTCAGACACTTTCTTCAAAATGTGATGAAGTATATTTAATGAATTCGCAGGCCTGCAAAAAAGAAAAATAAATACAGAAGTCATAACTTGCAAGGCTAGTTAGGGTTTCAAATTCATTGCTAAAAAAACTTACTAAAATACTCACTTAATCAATCCCAGTTTTTCTCTTAAAATTTCTGGAGAAATCTTTTCTAGCATAATAAGCTTTGATGTAAAAGCATCAATACGTCCTGAAAAATATTAATTCAATTAATACGCTAAAAATAAATGAGAACAAATGCAAAAGCATAATTTGCAGACTTAATTAATTTTAAAAGAAATAAAAAATTTTGCTTTTTTACGGCACAGAACAGTGCGAAGTATTTACCAATGTTGCACAATAACAAAAAGTAAAATGTATAGATGCTTTAAGTACAGACATCTGTATCTGGCCTGTCTTTCTAAATCCGAGCGATGCCCATGATTCCAGCAAATCTTATACCCTGGGTGATGCCTAGGCCATACAACCTCGTTTTGCCATGGCCTTAATCTCATCAGTTAGTTTGTATCTTCTCAAGTTCTTTCGATCTGTATGACTATGCTTCCTCACCTGACAGATCACCAAAGCTTATCTTTTACAACAAATTTACTTTTGAGTTTAATATACTTGATTTTCTATTCTGATATGTTATACGAACAACTGTGTGTGTTTTACTGGGGATTCTGTATCTTTTAATCTTGATTTTTTTTTCCCTCTCACCTGAAAAATTACAATTTACAATTCAGGCCTCGTTCATGGCAAATCATTAAAAGACTATTTGTCTTTGACATAGCTAGGAGCAATAATTCAAAGCTCTCCTCATCGTATTTTTAAAATAAAGGCTGACAATAAGAGTTTAGCCCATGTTTTCACTTGAGAAACAATAAAGATCATTAGCATAGCTTGTACAGTGATGTGGTGACCGTGCCTTACCATCAGGTTCTTTCTTATGTTGAGGTTTTTCCAGACATCTCTTCTATCCCAGCTCCCACAAGGAGGATGAGGAAAAGGCAGCATAATAAAATACTACATAATCAGTGGAATTTACTGCCTTACTACAAATCTGCTCTCACAGGAAGTGCAAATGCTTCAATTGTACAGTTAAAACTCCTAAATCAGAGCATTTCACATTCCAAGCTAAATGTTACTAGCAATTTGTTACATGATGTGTACAAAGACCAAGTAAGAACTCTAATTTTTAACAAATTTTTAAAAAATGCACCGGGACAACTGATTTCTTTTGAACACTGTACATTTGTTACTTTTCTTGATATCAGTATTTTGTGCGAGATGAAGCAGCTAGGTTACTATTAAGCACTGCTGACTACAGAAGAAACTTGAAATTATTGTTAAAAAAGTTTGTTTTCTCAATTCCTTATTGGCCTCTCCTCAAATCAAAAACTTCTCAATTTCTAAACTCATTGACAGCCTAGCTGGGGGAAAGAAAAAAAAAATAAAATCTATGAACAGCTCATACCTAATTTATATTACTGTATCTTACATTTTAGAAGTGATGGCTTGAAAACACTTGAAATTCAGTAAATTACCTGTACAGTAAGCACTTCTTCCCAATACATTTTTCAAATAATCTTCATTTAAAGGCCGATATTATTCTATTCAAGTGAAGGTAAACTGTTCTTTTTGCAGCAAGTTTTGCTCAGGCATTTAATGCAAATAAGTGAATAATGGTCATGGTAAAATGTTACCATTAATCAGCAAACCTTATCACAACTTTATTTCCTGCTTAGATCAAGTACAAGTAACTTATTTGGGAAACACGTCACAGAGATTACTCCCTTTGCAGATGCAGGATTTCCTATCTGAGTAGCAAGGAGACTTGTATCAACAACTGAGCAAGGCGCTCCACTAGCGAAAGGAGGACAGCACTCTTAAGTTTGTTTGATGATAATATCTCTGCTTTGTGCAAACAATCGCTACCTTATTTGAGAATACAAAATAAAAAAGAATTCAACTTCATATCACACCTCGCAATTTCTGCAGGAGGCCACAGTTACACTTCTGCTTTCTGTCTCATCTCCTGAGCTGGCAGCACTGCTGAGTCACTGTGCTGAGCAATGAGATTCCTCCCTCAGCCACACAGAGCGATACGACACTGAAGAACAACGCTGGGCAATTATGGGGCACAGACCAAGGTCCAAAGAACTTTCCATCTGTACTTATTTGGCAATAAAAAGATTGTTGAGCAGAGAATTAAGTTTTTTCAAGATTCAATAACTCCTAAGCAATTTAACGTTGAGGTCTGCTACATGCTCTGAACTTCAATTTTAGAGGCTTCACTTAAGATCTACATAGTCTCAGAACTGTCTGAACAGGAATGCAAGTTGTAGGTACTGTGTCAGTAATGGTAAGATCACAGTTTTCACACAGTTGTTTTTCACACTCATACTGTGGGGTAAATTTTAGAAAAGCAGTAAGTTCATGGCTTTACTGCGGCTGATTTAAAAATTCCTTTATTATAGGACATGATACTTCACTTAAAAGAATTCAAATTATAGCATGATCTAAGAAGTCAAGCCTGTCTTTCTGTTTACACTGAACACATGACAGCAGCAGTCTTCTTACTTTCAGGTATCAGATTAATGAAAAAAAAAATAAAAAATGAGATATTCATTCCATTTTAAGTTCTCCATAATACGGGACATTATCACCCTTACAGAATTGCTTTTGAAGTTTCAGGACACATCTTTCTGTTGCAAAGAGCCATCTAACTAAATCAGGACACTTCCAACATTGTATTTTTCACAGCTCCCCAGAAATACAAAGCAAAAGGCAGTATTTCACAGCTACCTTCCAGTATTTCTCAACAAGAGCAGAAAGAATCCATAAGTAGAATATGATAAGTTTCCTATTAAAAGCTGTGGTAAATGCTCTTTCATAAAATGGATCATTTACTTCCATGTATGTCTTTTTGCTTACCAAAACTCTGCAGTTTGCCTACCTGAATAAATGACATATTCTGTCAGTATCAAAAGTTGGTGACATGCCAACTCTGAATTTGTAGCAGAATTTTTTTTTTTTTCCATCTCTCTAAAAAATAGTGGTGGGAGGGGGCCTGCCCCACATGCTGGGAGGGACAATGACAACACACAGTAATCCTGTGCTCCCTCAGAGCACACAAAAAGAGAAACCCTGTGGATCCCAGGGCTTGCTGCTGGAAGAAGTGCATCCAAAAGCTGACAAACAAACGCCACTGGAATAACCAGTGTTTCTCAATCCCAATGACATTTTCTCCTAAGCACATGCACAGAGAGAGCGTTTCGGAGGCCAGGCCACTGAAGGTTGGCAGCCCAGGGCCCTACACCCTTTCATGGGTGTCAGGTACCTACAAAGGAGACACTGAGGAACCTCCACATCAGAAGGGGAGGGCTGTTTGTGCCAGAACAATTCCTGCAGCATGCAGCCTGCTTTCTCCTACACTCCTGAGAGCCTCTATAAAAAGGGGTGTTGGCTGGATGAGCTGTCTGCAAATTATGCGCACAAGCCATACCTGAAGTATCCTGTAACTGATGGGAGATTAGATAGACTGCGTTCTTTCAGTTTGTGTACTTGGTAAGCAGATTAACCCTCTACAGTTTCACTGCTTCCTCACAGTGCCTGTGACTCTAGAAACATTAATAAAAACGTTGACAAAATTTTCTACAGGGGGCTAAATTTCAGTGCAATTCAGTACACTGCTCTGCTTGTTTAAAAAAAAAAAAAGAAAGAAATGCTTCAGTATTGTATGTTAAAATATAATTAGTAATAAAGAACTGCATGCATAATTATCTCTTAGTGAGGATTTTTTTTTTTTTAGAGAAGGGAAAAACCACTGCAAATATTGCTTTTAAAATTTAAAATTAGAAACACAATTTCCATTAAATATGGGCAGCAGACAAAGATAGATGCAATCAGCAAAACTATCACCTCAAATACATTACAGTTCACATAAATCTTATAATTCTATAATAGGATGCAAAGTTTGTATGCAAAAATGAGGAAAGAGAGGACTCAGCATTTCTAAAATAGTGTTCTGATGTGAGTCACCAACAGCAAAAGCGTAATTCAGTGCACAAGTGGAAAGGCTGGGCAACCACAGGCCACAACTGCTGCCTTAACAACCAGAAAAAACAGAGAATTTTATTCTACAACAGGAAAGCGAGGCACTGCGAAACATTCATTCAGCATATAAACAGGATTGCCCCACCTCTGTAGCAAGTGCCAAAAGTATTCTAAAATGCATTTTACTAACTACTTTGTTGCAGATTTTCTCTTTTAAAACCTTAATTACAAGATAATTGGTACCAGAGAGCTCTCCATATATCAAAGCGGCTGTTAAAATCATCTGGCCACATTCTTCATATGCATCGTTTTCATTTCTCCTCAGAACATATGTGTCCTAACAGATGTAACTTTACTGACATTTACAATGTCATTCTACAAACATGATTATAGCATTTTGCATAGGACATTTGTTAGTGAAACCTTCCTTATAATGCTGCATTCCTAGTGTGCTTGGTTTATGTGATTTTTGGCCTTTACAAATAAGGTATCTTTCTGGTAATATTTCCAGGCTTTTTATCCCTGCTTTATTGTCTTTTTATTTTGTGTGCTCTGGATTACAGTTGTCATTTCTCCTACACGAGATTTGTAGTTTCCTGCTTCACTCCCACCGAATGTCCGTTACTTCTCACTCATAGATTCTATTACATTATCTCCCGCTTCCATCTGCTGCATGATACAGGACAAGGAGCATCAAGACCATCCCTTTGACAGGGGTATTTCAAGTCATAGCACATATTAAGAAATTAAATTTCACTGATCAGTTAGATATGGACAATGGCAAACCTAGAAAATATGTTTGTTTAAGATCATCCAGTGCTGATAACTCCTGGGGAATATCATCGCTATGGAGAGAAGTTTTCAATAAAGTTATGCTATGTATTTTTCTTCTTCCTGTTAGGAATTTCATTTCTGCAAAGCCAGAAAATTATTTCCAGTACCTCAGATATGAGACACACGTACATCGCTTTCAAAGCACGTAACTTCTCTTATTTCTGAACAACTGAACTTGATTTAGCCCTATCTTGCTTGTTTTTCCTCATTCTCTTGTAAGTTATTTGTCTACATGCCATCAGTGTAGAAATACTAACATTATTGCCTGTTCTCAAATTAAAATAAGCAACATTTGACATCTTCCCATACTGCAAGCTGAAAGGCCAAGGAATCATTATCTTCTTGAGCCACATACCTGATGCTCTGTTTGTGTTCTCTTTTGGTACGTAATCACAAACTTATTTAAAATTATTTCACAAAATTATAACATATATTTATAGCTCATACTTAATCAAGAAATATTTTTACCACTCCTGTGATAAAATAATTCATGTTGTGTATGATTGAAAAGAAACCTTCCCGCCCCCCAAAAAAACAAACCCAGAACAAAAGATACTTTAAGTCACTAAGATTACTAACTTCAGAGAACTACATTCACACTTACAGATATATTTGTCTTTGAAAGGCAATAAATGCAGTTCTTGAAAACAAAGATTACCAACTGCTATTAATCTAAAATTAAAGTTGAAATATCCTCATTCACCACCCAATAGAAATTTTAGACAAAGGGCTTAAAGATAAAAGTGAAAACCAAAATTAGAAAACTAAAATAAAAAAGGACATATGGAATATACCTTTAATAAATATTTGTCTCTTTTGTTATTCTATGAATATTCAGATATACATGCTTCTTAAACAAAAATCAATATATGAACTTACCAATATAAAATATGCATCCAGAATGCAACATACTCTCCATCCACAGCTGACATACTTCACTTTCTGTAAGAGCTTCGACACCGTAATAGGTTTGGTATTCTAGTTTTGGCAACAGGAATATTGGAGTAAGCTATAAAAGTGAAGACGCAAGAAAAATCAGTACTTGTTGTCCAAAAAACATCCACAATTGAACTACATTTTGTAGTTAATAATCATAATCTTCCACTACAGCAGAAGCAACAAAGACATTTCACAGATTTTGCATGATGGCTCGTGTTCTATGAAACCCACAGTACAAACTTCGGACCACAGAGACTCGATATAGAGGAAGGTGAAACGGACAAGAAAAGAAGACAAAAAGCAACAACAAATGCCTAGGGAAGCTTTTACAATTAACAAAATTTTGCTGCTAAGTGATTTTTCCATGCGACTAAATGAATTTGAAGTTCCCACTTCTGTGCTCTACTGACCTCTGCAGGAATTTAAGAAAAAATACACTATTATAGTTCTGATTTGCTTACTGTTAGTGGAATCTTGCCATTTATTCCCCTCGTCAGAATCTCACTTGGAATTAGAACCTAGTACTTAGACTCTCATTTGAAACCAGAGGCTAACCTTTCTATTTTAACACTAGAAGAGAAAATATTAAGCCTCTTCTGACAAATCACAGTTCAAATTTCATCAGGAAATTTAAAAAAATAAACAATAGTCCTTAGTTTCTGAATAACAAACTACGAAGCTATTCAGAGACATTTATAAGCAGCGGATCAATAGCAAAGAGATACTATTTATTCAAAATAAGATTCTGAGCACAGAATCTTAAGTAAACAGTTACAAAGACCTATTTCCATTTCAACAGCACATAAACACCTCACGAAACGCCTGCCTACCATAATACCTCTGATATTCTGGGGAGGGAAATACCACATCAGATTTGCTGAATGATTAAGAGAACTCTTGACAAAATAACAAATTACTGAGGATTCCAGTGTAAGCTTTCCTTCTCCTGATGTTACAAGGAATATTTGGATTACACTTGCACTTCAAGCCTGCATTTTACTCCTTATGACAAACGATTTGCTAAGATGTATACCATAGCAGAATGAAGAGAATCTCTTTTTATTTTTAAGTGTATCCTCTGCTGTTAGACATTCTATCTGCTGCTTCTCTGCTTAACTCCGCTTAATAGCAAGGCTGAATCCTGCTTGAAAGTACTTATGATCATGAACATTCTCAGAGCCTTGAGCCAAAAACCTAATTACTGCATTAACTTTTAAGAACAGTTCAATTTGACATTAGTTTACATGATTATAAATACCCACACATATTACTGTAATGCAGTTGTAGTAAGAAAAGCAGAATCACACTTGCTTATCTTCTAATCTAGTAGGTTTAAAGAAATTGCAAGTTATTCTTCCTTCCCTTCCTACAGCAAATATTTACCTAAAGACAACATACACTGTAGAGTTACAATTAAATGCACTGTTTGATTGAGTGGGGAAAAAAAAAAAAGGTAACAGCAAAATCTGTACCTTTTGGGCTTTTTTCTTTTTATGGTATCGTGGCAATGACTTCACTTTTTGCACGCTGCAACGCACAAGTAACAACAGATCATTCAGACTGAATAGCTTATACACGAGGTTGCCATCCTGAGGTGCTTTATACTCTGAAGGGTCTTCTTCAAGCACCTGAAGTTCATTTGGCAGCTTTCCTATAGAAGATAAAGAAAACAGAAAATGACAAGCTTGCCCATTCTTTACTATGAATCCAATTATTTTTTTTTCTCTTGCAGTAGATTTTTATGGTTTGTTTGGTTTTTTTTGTTTTTTTTTTTTTAATATGCTCTGGTTTGTTTCCTAGAACTTTGGGGTGAAAACCATCTCATTACATGCAAGAAGCCACTTCTGTATTAAAAAAAAAAAAAAAAAAAAAAAAAGTCTGCTATAACTTTTAAAGAGTATATTTTTAAATATTCCCACACATTTTACCCTAGTTATTACATTACATATACAAACAGAGCTGTGAGACTCTATTCTTTACAAATAAAGTTCAAAGGTTGGGTTTTAAGCCACAGTCATCACTAGGTGTAAAGGAGACAAACATTTTATTTACAATGAATGCCTCCTGAGAGTCACCATCTATTTACCAGTTACTGAAATAACTCAAGCCTCAGGTTTGGATGGGAGCATAAGCCTCTGTTCCAAACTGAGTTTGCCTCAGCTTCAATTTCAACACTAGTATATTCAAAAGAAAAACTTAATTTCTTTAGGTAGGTTCACAAAATCTCTGCATCCCTTAAAGGCATTTTAACAAAACATTTAAAATAAGTAAGAAAAAACTCTAACCTGCTTAAGATTATTTATTGAAAATTTATCCAGTTCTGGTTTTTGTCCTGCAGATATGTGGAAATATGTGTCAGAACTACAAATAGGTATTGCTGTAGTGCTATAAATAAATACATTTAACATTAGAGTTTATGTGCATCTTTGAATAAATGTATACTGTGTGAGATGTTATCATTCAAGTGACCAGAAACAATTCTCTGTTAGTAAAACATTTAACTTAGTTCTGGCTTTCTGCAAAAAAGACATACAAAGAGGTTTATCAGCTTGCTATAGAACTTTCAGTTTGTAGAATTATTCTTTCTATTCTTTCACAGTCACACTTCAGTACCTTAGCAATATTGGTTTCACTATCTCTATTAAAAAAGAAAGAAGAAATTTATTATCAAACACCTGAATTCCATACTCTGGCTTTTTAACAGAAGGAGAAATAGGAGTATCATGCTGCTCAACCCTTCAAACTGAGGGTGAGATATGGTCTTTTAGTGACTACTAAAATTCAGTTAAATTGATAAAAATGTAGGAAGTGATAACACAACTTCAACTAAAACATAACTAGTTGTGTTAACTGTTTCCACTACACATTAAGTAAATAATTAAGATTAATTCTTGTGTGATCAAATGCACAGCTAGTCAGAAAGTGTCAGCAAAACATGTTTTCCCACGAAAAGCATTGATTCACTGGAATTAAATACTTGAGAAAAAAAGGGTATCTGTCCTGATGCGACTTGCCTGGTTTCCTATCAGTTTACCTAACACAACAAAGTGCTTCTAACTTCAGTTTGTACAGAGCCCAGAAGCAACTCAGGCATGTGAGAAAAACCTCAAAGTTCATGATCCCTAGGATCTTCAAAACTTCTAGTTCTTGGTGGAAGTCTGGCTGTAGCATAGGTTCAATTTCCAGTTAAATGCCTGAAAACTTGGAGAGATGAGTTGTAGCGAGTTCTCATTAGTCATCTGGAACAGACTGCTAAGAGCTAAGAAACAGAAACTGAACTGGGGGTCTCAGAACTTAGGACACCTACATTTCAGTTTTTCTTTCAAGTTTTAATTGCACAATTTGATTACATTTTTCTTCTATAGAAAATGTAAAATAATTCCATTTTGATTGACAAGAAACTGGTTTTGCAGACCAGACTACTCAAATATTTGAATTTCTGAGAAAGAGTAACCCCTTTCACTACCAAATGACTTATTTTCCTTGCTTAAAAATTTTGTATAAAACAACTTTTTGTTTTGCTAGAGTAAAACAAAATTTCACATTCACCTCTGTGGACAAACAGCTTATGTGTGCAAGATAAACTCCCTTATGTGTGCAAGAGCAATTCTCAAACAGAGGTATTGTTAAAAAAAAAAAAAAGTCACATGTTTAAGTAAATGTAACAGACCTACTATCAGGATGTTCTTCAGAGGGAGGAGTTAAGATGTTTTTCTGTTAAATTTTACTGAAAATTTCAAATTTTACTCCTTACACAATGAACACAATTACTTACTCTTTGGCACTCCCTGAAAAAGCGAAGTCCAGGTATTTCGGGATGAGTCATTGGGATTTGAGGAAGGGGCTGACAGAGTTTCTGTGCTGGAGGTCACCAGTGGTTTTGGAGATTGAGGTACATGGGCTGGCACAGCATTAGAATTATCACAGCTCACCACTGGTGGCTCATGAGCTTTTTGGGAAGGTGACTTGAGAAGTTCCGTTTGCATTTTCAAAATCTGTCCGACAGGATCAAATTCTTTGGACAGCTTTCTCATAGGCTTTCTGGAGGCATTTTTTCCCTGATCCACAATATCTGAGCAATCAGTCATTGGAATCTGAGTGGAGAAAGGTGATTTGGTAGTCTCTGCTGAGGTATGAGAAACAGTGTTTGGTACAGCTGTTGCGCAACAATCGGTGTTTTTACATTCTGTATCAATCACCAAACGCTCTTCATCTGTGTCACTACTGCATAGAGAAGTGTAAGTCTCATTTTTTTGTGCGGTGTCAGACTCTTTCTTGTAACTAACAGCATTAGATAGAGTATTTGATTTCGTTTCATTGCTCGATGCTTCTTTGTTTGCAACATGCTGTGCTTTGTTCATTCCTACCTCTTCTGAATTAAAGCTTTTAGGAGATGAATTTTCCTCAGGGCTGAAGCACAGAATGCCATCTAATGATGGAAACTGCAAGCTGGCAGATGCTGAAACTTCTTGCTCAGAAATGGTGTTTTTCTCTTCCTCACCTCCACTGTTTATGATGGATGTATTTTTTTTCCCCATATTTAGGCCATGTGATAAAACTTTAGCAGTGTTACTAACTGTAGGAAAAGTACTTTCCATTTTAGAAGTTCTTGAGAGCTTGACAGTTGCTCCAAAAGTTTCCAGTTGTGTAACATCATCATCAAAGTCCATGCCTGTGTCATCTGGAACGGGAATCCTCCGGTACTGGTAGGTATCAGAAGACATCTTAACACAGGGAGGAAAAAATAATAATAATAGATTTTAGGAAAAAAAAAAAAAAAAAATCAAACAAACCAAGAAACAGAATGTGTTAATCACAATCGAGTCATTATCAAATTGAAAATGTGAAAAAACTAGTCATATTTTGACTGTTGTACAAGAGGGGCAGTGTTCCTATGTTTAACCTGAAATATCTTCAGTCCTAGGAGTTGAAAGGCCTTTCAAAACAGAAATCAAGTTTATAAAACTTTTCCCACTTAAATAAGCTGATCCAAATACATTTTAGTGAAGTAAACATTAAACCTGAGATGCTGACGTAATAGAAGCATTTAAAGGAACTAGACAGATATTTTAAAACATAAGGCCTATAACTCAGCAGTGGAAAAACTACCAACAAGAAACCTAAATTTTGATTCATTATCACAGAACGAGTAACTTAGGAATTATAACACAGGTTTTTGGTTTTGTTGTTTCTTTTAAAGAAGAGGTGAAGCTACATACATCCCACTGAAACAGACTGTCCTCAGCTGGTTTGTCCATCGATACATCAGAAACTGAAACGTAAGATGTTTTAGTTGCTAGAAAGTCCAATGGAATTTCATGGAAGATTTGGTTCCTCTCTCTCACTGTCATTTCCTTTCTCAGCAGGGGTGAATCAACATAAACCACTTTAGCTAGTTTGCTACCTTTTCAAGAACAGAAAGAGATTTGAGTACATACTAAATTAAAGGAAAAAAATATTGTTGTATAATTTAAATAACAGATCTTTCAACTTCCAATTATGGTCAAATCCATTCCACATTCACACTAGAAAAAAATGAAAAACTATCCTCTCATTCATTAGCAACAGAAAATAAAAGTATGTCCAGATACAGTGTGAATTATAAGGATCCTGCAGCAGCAATACACACCACATTAACAATCAATTAGACTTTAAATGCAGTTCTAAATAGACACTTTGTAAAATAAGAATTTAGGATTCATCATTCCTTATATTGCATTGTATCATCAAATGTATTCTGTTTTCCAAAAATATATTTTTTCTTCCTTTGATGAACCTCATGGTTTTTTTTTTAAAGTCTCATTGCCCAAAAGTGATGGCTGCAGTTTATATTTCTTCTAATCAGTAACTATGTCTGAGTTCTGCTGCCCCACTCTTTTGTTTACACCTGAACACACCTACACATGAATCAGTCATAGATTCATCCAAAAATAACAGCGATACCCTGCACAATATTATACAGAAAGCAAAGGCACATGGTGAACATACTATCACTGTTTTAGGAAAAAAAAAAATCTGTGGATGAAAAAAAATATCATTAATGCAAGAGGTGGGTTACAGTGAAAGGGGAAATGAAGGAGAGGAGAAACTCTTCAAGGAGTAGTATATATTACTAACATATTCTCAATGCCCTTTAGGCATTAACTTTGGATCTAAAAATTAAGATTAAAATTATAAAGCTGATATAAAAGGAGTCAGGCATATCTTTATAGAGCAAGTAATTTAATTTCAGGTAGGAAAGTGCAAAATTTTTTAAGACTTGCAGATATTTGATCTCCCTGGACATTAATTATTTATTCATTATTCTATGATGTAATCAGGTCCTTTCAATTCCAGAAAATGTTTGCTCTCTGTTTTTCCATAAAACTTCGGAATTTCTCTGTTTTAGCTTATTGAAATCAGTTCACTAGACAATTTTTAACAGCTTCATGCAGTTAGACCTTACAATTTTGAAAAGCAAAAGGACATTTAACTGGCGTTTTTTTTGTTGTTTGTTTGGTGTCTCCCCTCCAAGTGGAAAATAGTTGTATGTTCAATTCAATGTTAATGGTGATACCTCTAGAGGTTGTTACTATTCTCAGTAACAAGGTGGAACAAGGTGTAGAAAACTATGAAATGACCTTGCTATCAGCTTTCCTCCTTGAAAACTATAGCAATGGATTTTTAAAGTCCCTGACTCCTTATCAGATGACAGCTGAAAACTATTAACTTCAGATTTTTGCCCTTTAAGATAAGTGAACTAAATAAATCAAATTTTATTACTTTGATTGATTCCTTAAATTAAAAACATGGAAGTACTTAAGAGAAACTATTTTCTTATAGCTGCATTCTAGAGTGCTGCTTCTTGAGAAAAGGTAAAAATCTGAGCTTATAATTACAATATGATTTTCATTAACCTTAGCTTCTTTCTTTTTTAAATAAGACAAAAAATAAGCTATTCTATTATTGTGTGAACTAAACCAGACTATCTTCTACCTTCCTGCAGTTGTCTTTACTGGATTTTCTAATTTCCTGTTCTTCAGTCAGCTTGAAAAGGAATATTAGAATATATAATGGTCTTCATAGACAAAAGACTATTTTTTATAACAAAAACATACTATACCTGCAACAGAGATCATTTTAATACAAACTGGAATTTCCCATTGTTCCTTGTAGTTTAGTCCATGATTATTCAGTAAAGTAAATAATGATTGATTACTTAAAACAACTTGAGGACAGTATTTCAAAGCCAGTTTTTCTGCATTTGAGTCTGAACTAATATCCTGAACAGAAAAAAGTTAAATTTTTAAGGTTTTTAAGAAAGACACACATAAATTTAAATTCATAAGAAAAACCCCAAACCCAAACAAACATGAATTGACCCCCCAGCCCAAATTCTACCACAGTACCAGGCTTCAGAATCAAATTAAAAAGCAAAAAATTCTCCTGGAGGTTTTTGGCTGAATCTTGTGCATCCACCTTGCAGCATGAGAAAAGGTATCTTCTTAACTTGTATCTGCCAGTTCATTCCTATTAATTTAAATTACTAGATTGAATAGGAATTTGGATTACCATGAAATATGGGAGTGCATTACAGAACAAAAAAGACAAACAGATTTACTCACAAATATATTACAGATCTTCTTATGAGTTAAGTAAAAGCATAATAAAGACATCTAACATCAAAGTATGGTTAAAACTACACAGCTGATTGAATACAGATTACATAAAAAGCATCTTAAAACAAATATAAAAACATGAAGAATACAAATGCAAAATTGAAATGATAAAATTATTAAACATTATGAGTACAGGTTTCCATGAAGAGAAGAGGCTGGGAATGCTCACAAGCTGGGAGGAGAACATCAAGGACTAAGGAGATAAAGGAAGCCCAGGAGCACCGAGCACCATGAGAGAGAAATAAGAAAAAAATCTAGCTATGTTCTCTTTTCTGCCACCTGAGACATCAACAGAAATATTCTCTTGAGGCATATATCATTCTCCTGTGTCACCTCTGCTACTTTCTTAAGCGAAAGTACCTTTGCAATCACAGTGCCTCTGTTGAAAGTTTGGTTTTTGATATGTGAACAAATTCCTAAAATTAGTGGATAACAAATTATCTGAAACAAGTTCTACAGAATAAAAACCACTGATTTTCTCTGTGGAAGAACACAAACAGAAGCATCAAATATTTAACAGGAAGGTGGAATGGAATCGAAAAATTGTTCAACTCGGAAATGGAGTTTATGCTGTTTAGCAAAAGAAATTCTGAGGGTAAGCTAACATAATCGACTTTTCAGAAAACCAGACAGTCTAAGTTATTTCTTCTTACCCTCAGGATATCTTTCTTAAGAAGCCTTTACACCTACATGCATCCATATGTATGTATACACACTCACACACAGAGGCTAGCTTAGAAATTGCAAAGCAAAGCTTAAAAGGAACAACACTGTAATAAACAACTCTATCTAGATTTCACAGGCAGTGTGTTCCAACTTAAGAACCTCTTTAAAGTTTCATTGAGAGAACAGAGGAACTCCTTTCAAGAGGCACCAGGTTCAAAAGGTAATAATCTCACTTTTGAAGAGGGAAATTTGATTGCTATAAATGAAATACTAAACAAATAACGATACAGTGTATGTTCCTATGCTACAATATGTGTAAGATTAGGAAAAAAAAAAAAAACGAAGAAATTTAATGCCACCACATAAAAACATCCAAATTGCTCTTCTCTACAAACTATGCCTTAAAAATTACAGTACCAAGCTTACTTACATTGTGCAAAATAGAGGCCTTTTTTTCTGGAGTTATAATAGATGTAACAGTTTTATAATCTGTGGGCAGTTGGACAGGCATGGTAGGGAAATCTGTTTTACCACATCTTGCCGTACCCTTGAGGAAAGCAAGCAGTAGCAGAAAATAGCTGTAACTGAAATTATGTTAACTCAACATTTCACTTCTTTTAATGAAAAATATTAAGAGTTAATGCAGGTGCATTATAAAGTCAGAGTCATATTAAAAAAATATACTATTAATGTAATCTTTTTATTGCGAACATACAGTGAAGGGTGTTAACACAGCCTTACTACCAAAATTTCATTAACTCTTTCATTAACGATTTTAATTATATATTACAAACCCTAACCCAAACACTGAGTAATACCAGTAAAAAAAACTGAATCCTTGCATAACACAATCCAGATGTAATTCTACTTATTTGAAAAAAAACCCAAGACAATAAATATGCGTTACAATTATTACCATTACAAGAAGATTTTTTTCCAGCCTAAAGGTCAATTGCGTATGAAACTTTCCTCCCATGATACTCATGATCTCCTGGAGCGTGTAAAACTCAGGATACTTTTGCACATGTCCAATACAAGCACGTAATAATTCCTAACATAAAAAGAAAAAATAGTTTATGCATTTGTATCTTTGCTAAGAATTTAACTGAAAAAAGCTTTTTCTGCAATTGCAAGTTGCATTTGCATATACTTTTTGTAGAGGCAGATTACTGCTAAAAGACTCGTTCAACTTTTCCAGTTAGATATAGTATTTAAAAACTTAGAGATACCAGTACCAAGCTAAGAATCTTAAAAATCACTGGTATCAGAACTGAAACAGATTCTAAATTCTTCTCAACCCTTCATATGCAAGGTTAAAAACATATCCACATAGGCTCAGACCAACCATAATGAAAAGTTTAGACCAGTTTGAACTGTGCTAAACCAGGCAATTATTTTATTTTCAGTTTATTTATGTTGGCTTTTAGAGGACTAGGCCTACACTAGGCCTAGGTAAAAGTCAGAAAGGTAAAGACATAGGAAGATTGTTATGTGTTGAAACTTGCTTTCACGCCAACTCTAGATCCTAAGATATTTTTTTCTGATATCTGAATTATGTATTTAAGACATCTAGGTTTTATTTAGTTACTTGAATGAGTTACTTCTGCAAGTATTGTTTAAAACTAAATATGTGCCTCTGTTTAATTTTGAACTCAGCACATTAACTTAACTATAAATAGGACTTCAAGTTTGTGACCAGACAACAAGATCACCTAGAAAAATAAGACACAAGTGTAAGATACAAAGCTACAAAGGCAATCCCAATTTTTAGAAAAAAACCCCCAAGATTTTTGTCCTCATGTGTGCCCAAAATGTGCATTAATGGGAAAACAAATTTATCTTCTGCATGTAAAAGCATGTAATAAAGTGTTATGATGAAACAGAAGCAATACTTCTGAATTTAACTAAACACTCCACTCTCTAGCACTAAACACATTTATTTTTCTGTTTCATTCTGTAAAAGAGTGATGCGGCACTTACTAGAAAAGACTGAAGTTTTAACAAAAAAGTATCTAAGTAGGTCGTTTCAATTAAAACAAGGCACTATGGGGAAAATGAGCAAGAGCAAGTCAACCCACTGATGGGAAAGTTTAACAAACCTGTATTCTGGAATTCTTTACCTGAAATGTGCTATTAAACCAAGAATGATATGTAAAGTTGCATTCATGTTTGGTTTTAGAATCATCAAAGTGGATATTCAACACAGTATGAACTTGCAGATGATTATGATTAAAGCCTGAGTAACCTCTGATTAAAGCGACTGTGTAGCATGCTACTGTGGAGGAAAGCTTAACATTCTGTCCAGTAGTGTATATTTAGGAGCAGCTTGCTAATGTAAATGCACACTTAAAACGTAACTTCTCCTTTCCCAAATATAAAGATATAATTTACTGAATTGACAACTAAATCTTTGTACAGTACTGTATTCAATGACCTCATTTCTATTGTATCGTATTGGCTACAATAAACTGTGGGCCAACCCATACTGCCCAGCATAAGGGAAATGCTGACTTCTCATGTCTCATCCCAACATGGAATCAGCAGTTCAGGGAACACCAGATCCCATGAGCAGTGCCTACATATCTCATTCACAATTCCAATATGGTTATTTAAGAAGAGAAGGAATTAAACACATTATTGGTAATTACCTCAGTATAACGCAGTGCATCTTCAGAGATGGTATCATAATCTTGGGCGCAGCTTTTTGAAGCGTTTTTTGCAAATTTCATAAATTCTGCTATTTCATTGTTTACTACTTCTTTCATTTGCTGGGGGGAAGGAAAACTATTTTTTTAAGACAGAATGGAATCCTGTAGGCTAGGTATGTAACCAGCAAAACTTCCATAGAAGTAGTACAGGTGACAATATGAGGGAAGGCACAGATTCCACTTGCTGCTCAATTTGGCAAGTCTTTGCATACATTTGGAATTTCACTTAAGTAAAAAAAATTTTTGCAAGGTCCATTTCCTTAAAAAAAATCCCAAAATAACAAACCACCACCCCCCCAAACAGCAAGCTTCCTTTGATCGTACATTGGTGGTTTATAACAAGAAAGGTAACAAGACATTGTTGTAGAAAGTTCCATGACAGAGCAGCAAAGATAGGTATCTGAGCTCTGACTTTGTAATCAATTACATTGTAAGTTACAACAATGCAGTAGGTACTGATTTGCCTGGGAATTACATTCCCATTGTTACAGCACAAAATAAAGGAATCAGCATTAATAAGGAAGCATGGGAAACCAAATGCAATGGTTCAAAAGCATCTGCTGATTAATTATGTTATACAGGATTAAACTAAAATGATACTTCCAACCAACATGAGACGTAGCTTTTCACTATTTAAGCAACATTGCTGAGACTAAGCAGCAAGTGTGAACTCGTGGCTTTCTACTCCCATAAGCACTGACATGGCAAGCATAGAAGGTCAATGCACGTCCCCTGACATGCCAATGAAGAAAGTTCCCATTACAGGGTGCTGTCAAAGATCACATGAAAATGTATCCACCTCCTAATGCTATACAAGACTGCTACATGCCATTATGAAATGCTAAAATCACAATAAGGTCAACTCTTAACTCCCCTCTCATTAAAAAAAAAAAAAAAAAAAAAAAAGGTTTTTTTCTGTAAGGTGAGTGGGTGTTTGATCAGCTATCAAAGATCTACACTTTCTGTCAGTCATTTGGAGTACTATTAAAGAAAAGAAAACAAACTAAACTAAACCAAAACACTGTCCTGGCTGTAGCTGAAACAGAGCTGGGTTTCTTTTCAGTAGTTAGAATAGCGCTGTGTTTTGCTCTCAGCCTGGGATTTGTTATGAGAGAGACACTGATAACACACCAGTGTTTGCATTTTGTCATTGTAAGTGAAGGACTTTGTGTTCTGTTAGTCTACAAGCATAAGATCTAAGGGGGCGAGGAACATTTAAATTATTAAGCTAAACTGGCATTTGGATATGCCAATGGGATATTCCATATCATATCATGTCATGTCCAGTATATTAGCGAGGGGCTTTTCTTCTTTTGGGTCTCTCTGTCTTCCGCTCCGGCTCTCACTCTTCTGGGACCGCGGTTTCAGTTTGGGATTGTCACACCTCCAGGATCGTTATCTGTGAATGGGCCGGGCTTGGTCGGTGGGTGGTGAGCAACTGCACTGTGTATCACTCATTTGCATATTTTATTACTATTTTATCATTATTATTTTAATACCATAATTACTTAATTTTATTTTATTTCAATTATTAAATTGTTCTTATCTCAACGTAGGGATCTCCTTACCCTTGTCTCCCACATTTCTCCACTACCTCCTGGGGGGCAGGGGAGTAAGCAAACAGTTGTGTTTGTCTGCTAGCCTAGCGCTAGCCCAGCGAAACCACCACAAACACCCACAAAACTCCCACACACTTTCAATGAAATAACCAAGCACACTTTCGATTTATATTAAAAATGTTATTCTGAATATTTTAAACCGTTATTACCAGTAATTATACTATGTTAAAAGGAAATTACAATAAATTAAATTTTAAAACAGTTTTACTATATTTTCCTTAATTGTTTGTAACAAAAATATTGTATGACTCCCTCTGTGATGTATATATGTACATACATGCACACCTACCAGATATGTGAACAATTCTCTTTGACTTGCTGCATTAACCTGAAAATGGTTTATTTTTTTGGAGTACTTGGTCATGAGATATAAGTATGTTTTCTGCTCCTTCTCAGTCAAACAAGAAGTAAATGGATAGGGGAGTCTAGGTTCTAGAAAAGGATGATCGTCAGCTGTGCTTTTAGCCTCCACCTCAACTGGGTCTGCAGCTTGTATGCTACAGGCCTGTCTGTTTTCTGAAGAGTTTGCCAATGCCTCCACATTTTTCTTTGCCTCTCTGAAAGAAAAGTAATAAATTAAAGAACTTACACTTTTCACATAAATATTAATATTTGTCAGAATTAATAAAAGCAGTCATGCAAGCCTAAACTTAAAATCTAGCAAAATGCACTGATGCACTGTGAGATACTGTACTATTCCAATTCCTAGTCTATTGCATAGGGATTTTCTTATTCTGAAACTTCACCTGGACAATCAGACCAACCCTTAGTACTGACAGCAGGCTTGTCACTGACTTAAAAATGAAAAAAAAAAAAAAGTATATATTAATCTGTATACTCAACATTGAGGTGACAAGCTAAATATGAAACTCTGATTCTCTGTTCTAGAAATACCCATTATTAATAGAAAGATAGAGAGTCTCAACATTTTGGCATTCACTGATGGCTGCTGTTCAGAAACAGTTTGCAGTCAGAAAGGACTAATTTATGAGTAAAAGTTATGATAGTAAAGGAGAAAGACTTAACTAGAAAAAGGCTTTCTTTCACTATAAAAGAAGTAAATTAAAATGACTTAATTTTAACAACAGAAATTCCAGTTTTCAATTAAGAAATACCTAAAAAGAGTACACAATTAGAGAGTTCCATTTTCCACTCTAAACAATGTTGAAATCAGTTGCCAAAAATAATATTGTGCTAAGGCAAGGGGCGTAGCTGCTGTAACAACAACAAAGAAGCAACGTTAGAAAGCTGGCTCTTAAAACAACTCCAGTATACGAAGGCCATCTTAGCCCTGCTCTATTTAAAACAACTGTTCTTAAGGGAAAAAATATTTAAGGTTAAAAAAATGAACATTAACTGCGGATCCTGGAAAAAGCATATTTTTAAGATATGATTTCAGCAGTAGGAAACATTTCAAGTGTTATTCAAACCCAGCAGTATCAGTTCTTAATAATACTTCACAGCTGTCTCTCTGAATACGAGAATGTGTCCATCCTCGTGGCACAAACTGGCAAATTTAATTAAGCTGCAGCAGCGACAAGATGCTGACTCAGATATGCCAATGTAGGAACATCAAGAAATTCTAGCAGCTTAAATTGGCTATATTCAGCACTGAATGAAATGGCAGCACATCAAGATCATTTCAGTATGCAGTGCTGTCACAGTCTTCATCAGGTTGCAAACCAAAATAATCTGACAGAGCTTTTCTGTCCATATTTACAGCATTATACTTTATTTGAGCTGACAGCTTAAATTTTTCCCCTTCATTTTATCAGCAACCTGCTTTCACAGCTTCTGTGGTGAGAGAACATACACTTTAGTAAATATCTATCAGAAACCTCAATACACAAATTGACAAATTTCCTCCATCTTTTACTTTCACTTTTGCCCCAACAGTTTCCAATTCTCTTCCTCTTGACTATCGCCACACAACCCAGTTCCATCAATTCCTAAATTTCTCTTGTTGCAACCTGTCTTCTGGCTATAAACCCACTTCTACCATACACAACAGAACACAATCCCACTCTTGAGTGCAGCCACGTGGACTCCAGAAACTTTTTTCCTACAAAAAAAGGAAGAATCCAGTGTAATATCCAGGGTACCCAGTAGCAAGCTGTGAGGGCTGTGCTCAACTCTGCCAGTTCAAAGAAGGTTGCTCCAACAGAGATGAACCAGAAAAGCCTTGTCTGGATAAAGATGTGGGCTATAAAGAGTCATGCGATGTAGATAGGTATTCCCCTCAAATGCGTGTTCTCAGTGTTAGTTCATAAAAATACAGTAATTCCCCTTTAGAACAAATTACTTCTCCACATGCTGAACTCTTCACTTAGAGCGCAGTAGCTACCTTGATCTCCCATGAACAGTCTTTGTGGTGTTAATGTTCATCCACCGTGAGACACTTGTCACTTGCACCTCCCACCAGCTTAATGATTTCTTAAAAAAAACCCAATAGCATAAATAGAGTTCTCCAACTTTTGAAATCCAGCAGCATAAGCTACGCTTTCCATTATCCAAAACAGATGTTAACAGATTCTACTTCCTCAACTTAAGAAAATAAACAAAGTCAACAAAACTGCACAACGAATACTACCTGTACCAACAATTATGTTCACATAACTTCATTTCCCATTCTTCAGCTAACACTCTATACAGTTTCTTCATTACTCAAGGAATTAACTGCATCTCCACTGCACCTAAGACACTGCTGGATCTATGTAATCAGTGTTGGCTAATTCCAAAAGATACAAGTAAAAAGGATTTAAATTTACACTATTGTCAGCTTTCTACAAAGTGAGAAGACATGGACAGAGAGCAAGACATTAATTTCTAAAAAGAATTAGGTCTGGTTCATGGGATCCTTACCGTGACTAGTTAAGAGTGTAGGTCCAACTTCATCCCTCATTGGTACACAAGAGAAAGCAAAAAACAAGTACCAGCCCCCAAACAGAAACCAAACACCATTCCAACTCCCAAAAGACACGAAAGACCAGAGGTCCCAACCTAGACTCTTCCAGCTTTCTTTGGTTTCACAATAGGTAAAGCACAGACCAACTGCTGGACCAAAGAGTCAGTAACAAATCCTTGCATACCGGATAACATGCAGCTTTCCCTCAAAACAGTAAGGGTATGTATCAGTAAGATGATAACAAACAGCACAAAATTATAACACAACAGAATATACCTGTTTGACAAATGCCATAGTTCAGAGACGCTCGGAGCCAATGAATATTCTTCATAAATTTCATGTGAGAAAAATACTTCATTGCCATTTTTTGGTGAAATATCCCTGATAAAGGAAAAAACAAAACAAAACAAAAAACAACACTGCAATACACAAAAAAATTAAAATCCACATCTGCCCTTGACAAAGAACAGAATTGTTTATTAAAAAAAAAAAAAGCTATCTATATAGTGTTTCCACATTCCCTCTTTATGGAATTTACATATATACCGTCTAATTCCCTACTGGGTTTCAGTAGTAAAATACATGGGTTATAAAGTCTAGCTACGGTGAGAGAAATTCTGGTAAGTTACACATTTTCAGATGTTCTTTAATCAAAACCAAACACTGCGTTGAACTTGCTGGAATTTTTGGAAATATACAACAATCTTGGTTTTAATTTTTCAGAAAAAAATATACTTTTCTACAGACTTTAACTTCTAAACTGCCTTTTTTGTTCTTGCTGTTACATATCCCTTCCAATGTATAGGGTTTATACAAGCCAGCCTTCCCAAACTATTTTGAGAGGCATAAAGAAAAGAAGAAAGACTTATTGCAGTCTCTCTCACAAATAAACTAATTCAAACCCAACTCACCTCTCCGGGGTAAAAAAGCCTAATTACTTCTTTGTAAGGCTTTTCGTTACTAAAGACAAGAACAACATCACTACCCCAAATCCATACCGCGAATGTACGTGACTAAACTGCTCCTCATGTCGGAGCGGACACGAGCGCCCAGACTGCCCCTCCCTCAGGGAAATGCCACTGCCACCTCCCCCTGAGAGCACGGCAGAACATGGCGCGGCACCGCCCTCCCTCCCTCAGCGACGGGGCGGAGCCAGGCGGCCGCGGAAACCCAGGCCCGGCCCGCCCCGCTC